AGAAAAGTTTTTGTTTACATAATATATGTATGTGTACTGTGTTTATTTATTATGTACAGTATCTTACAGAAGTGAGTACACCCCTCACATTTTTGTAAATATTTTATTATATCTTTTCATGTGACAACACTGAAGAAATGACACTTTGCTACAATGTAAAGTAGTGAGTGTACAGCTTGTATAACAGTGTAAATTTGCTGTCCCCTCAAAATAACTCAACACACAGCCATTAATGTCTAAACCGCTGGCCACAAAAGTGAGTACACCCCTAAGTGAAAATGTCCAAATTGGGCCCAAAGTGTCAATATTTTGTGTGGCCACCATTATTTTCCAGCACTGCCTTAACCCTCTTGGGCATGGAGTTCACCAGAGCTTCACAGGTTGCCACTGGAGTCCTCTTCCACTCCTCCATGACGACATCACGGAGCTGGTGGATGTTAGAGACCTTGCGCTCCTCCACCTTCCGTTTGAGGATGCCCATGCTTGGCCAATCCATCACCTTTACCCTCAGCTTCTTTAGCAAGGCAGTGGTCGTCTTGGAGGTGTGTTTGGGGTCGTTATCATGTTGGAATACTGCCCTGCGGCCCAGTCTCCGAAGGGAGGGGATCATGCTCTGCTTCAGTATGTCACAGTACATGTTGGCATTCATGGTTCCCTCAATGAACTGTAGCTCCCCAGTGCCGGCAGCACTCATGCAGCCCCAGACCATGACACTCCCACCACCATGCTTGACTGTAGGCAAGACACACTTGTCTTTGTACTCCTCACCTGGTTGCCGCCACACACGCTTGACACCATCTGAACCAAATAAGTTTATCTTGGTCTCATCAGACCACAGGACATGGTTCCAGTAATCCATGTCCTTAGTCTGCTTGTCTTCAGCAAACTGTTTGCGGGCTTTCTTGTGCATCATCTTTAGAAGAGGCTTCCTTCTGGGACGACAGCCATGCAGACCAATTTGATGCAGTGTGCGGCGTATGGTCTGAGCACTGACAGGCTGACCCCCCACCCCTTCAACCTCTGCAGCAATGCTGGCAGCACTCATACGTCTATTTCCCAAACACAACCTCTGGATATGACGCTGAGCACGTGCACTCAACTTCTTTGGTCGACCATGGCGAGGTCTGTTCTGAGTGGAACCTGTCCTGTTAAACCGCTGTATGGTCTTGGCCACCGTGCTGCAGCTCAGTTTCAGGGTCTTGGCAATCTTCTTATAGCCTATGCCATCTTTATGTAGAGCAACAATTTTTTTTTTTCAGATCCTCAGAGAGTTCTTTGCTATGAGGTGCCATGTTGAACTTCCAGTGACCAGTATGAGAGAGTGAGAGTGATAACACCAAATTTAACACACCTGCTCCCGATTCACACCTGAGACCTTGTAACACTAATGAGTCACATGACACCGGGGAGTGAAAATGGCTAATTGGGCCCAATTTGGACATTTTCACTTAGGGGTGTACTCACTTTTGTGGCCAGCGGTTTAGACATTAATGGCTGTGTGTTGAGTTATTTTGAGGGGACAGCAAATTTACACTGTTATACAAGCTGTACACTCACTACTTTACATTGTAGCAAAGTGTCATTTCTTCAGTGTTGTCACATGAAAAGATATAAAATATTTACAAAAACGAACGTGAGGGACTCACTTCTGTGAGATACTGTATATATATATATATATATTAACATGTATTTTATTTTAACGCATTTTATTTCAGTTAGTTGCCAAAGCAAAATTTCTTACTTTTGTTTAGTTTAACTTAATGTCCTAAATAAACTAATAAAAATAACAAAATTAATACAGCTTCCAACTAGAAAGTGGACAATATAAAATTAAAAATGAATTAAAAATATTAATAAATAATCCTAATATAGCAATAATCTGTTTTGCTCCTAATTTAATTAATTTTTAGCTTTACCAACAGCAATGGCAAAATATAGGCTACTAATAGTCTTAATATTAAAATAATCTTTCATTTCTGCAACATGATTTAATCTGTAAAGAAATAGGCTAATATTTTAATTCACTTTTCAAGTTTGATTTTACGTGGTCAATTCACATAAAACATATTAGCCTGATATACTGATATCTTATCAATACACAACATGGTACATAGTGCATACAAGCAAACCACTATAGTCAGTTAAACTGTTTATTTGTCCATTACAGAGCATGTTGGTACAGGCTACTCACTGAACATTTCACAAGATAAAAGTTATTCGTTTAAAAATATGCCATCGGTTTAGATTATTCCAAAATATTTATAACTTTTTTGTGATGAAAATTACAGTCATCGACTATTCTAGAAATTACAACGGAACATTTACATGGCAGTTGCCATAAAGAAACAAAATCTAAAATGCTGGGTGCAGATATACAGTAGTCCTAACATTCAATTTTCCATCACCACCTGCTGGTCATCACAGTTATTGCAGGTATGTTTTTAAAATATAATACAATCTCAAACATCTTGTGGGATTGGAGAGATTATTCACTCAAAACTCTTTTTTGCACTAATAAATGCCATTCAAAATGTCGTAGACTTTATTATTACTATTTTTTTTTAAATAAATCCCCTGCATGTCACTGTACATAATTTATAACCAACAAAGGGATTGTGCTTGAAAACCATTAGTAATAATGATCACGAGTGCAGCCAGCTGCAAAACCTCAACACTTCCAAAAATCTGATACCCTATTTGGTAATAAATAAGTCCTAAAGCATGGTTTTAAATTAGTATCTAATTAGTTTAGCTCTAGGGAAAGAAAGAAAAAAACAAACATGATGTCCAAATTTCCAAAGTCCAGACTATCAGTCCAACTCTTCAAACAGTAAATAAAACTGGCAGAAAGGAGAATTTGCCCCAAATCAAAGTCATTTTAATTAAAACTCTAGGAGTAAAATGTAAGAAGTAAACTATTTTTGTGTTTCACAGCAGTATGGCACAATTTAAATCCACTGGGGTTTTAGAATTCACAACCCCGCTTGTAAACATTCTACAATTTTGTGTAGTCCAGGTTAAAATGTACCACATGTATAATCTTCCATGGCCTCTCCAGTACTGGAATAACACCACAATATCAAACACTATCTAAGAAGTGGCAGTAAACAAAACACATTTACTGTATAATCTGATCTCAACATCACAGATGCTTCTAAAAATAGAATCTCTTTAGCCAGATCAGACATAACCTAAAATAGATCGTCAAATGCTAACTAGGAATTTGAAGGGAAACAAAGACATTTTCATATTTCAAATTTTTCTACATTCTATTATGGATGTTATAATAAATATTAAATATCTAAGGCCTCTTCATAAAACATTGTCCTCATGATTATAGAGTAAGCTTGTCACTTTTCACTTCATTTGGTCAGAGTGCAAGTGGAGTACAAGTCCAGGATCGAGGCTTCAGCAAGTCTAGGAAAGAAGGCTGAGGAAACAAAAAGAAACCATGAATATATGAATAAATTCACAAACTAGATGAACCTACCAAGAACAAGCACTTTGTTTACCTCTTGAATGGGGCAGAAGCGCTGCGCGTACCACTCCTGAGAGTACAGGCAGATGAGAACACCCTGACCCAAAAACAGTGCAGTCCACATGATCACGTTCCAGATCGGCCCTTTTCTCCGGTCGTTAAGAACGAAGTTAAACACCACTAAATAGAAACATGAGTGCATTAGACACTTTCATATTCGGGCTCTGTTACATCATATAAAACGGAGTCATTTTAACCGAAGCTTAAACCAAGTCTAGGTGGTTATCTGGCATCCCAGCCTGCCCAAGCTGGTTAAATTGGTATGTTTGGATGGTTTTTGGTAGACCAGCTGCTGACCAGCTAAACGCCAGCTTGGTCAGCTGTAAAACCAGCTTAAGCCAGCTAAGACTATCTGTTTTTTCAGCAGGGACATGCTCTTGTAATAAATGAGATTCTTACTTCCAAAGCACATGAAGAGGCAGAACATGACGGGATAGAAGAAGCCAAAGCAGATGGCCAGAACGTACTCATGCACCACAGCAGACACAGTAAAAACAACCAACATGGCCGCTGCACGGAATTGCTTCTGTGCCATCTGTAGATATGGATGATCACACTTGGTTTAGCTTGATGCACATTTGGACACAATTTCACACAAATTCCAGAGTCCACGCAAATAAACCAAAAACAGACTGTTTATTGAAATACAGCACAACATAGGGCCATCGTCAAGCTCCAATCTGAAACACTGTTAACACCAATGAATTTCAGTGATTCCTGGATGATTTTTGTAAAGAGCGCACTCAAAGTGAATATATATATATAGCCAATTAAATAAAAGTAAATATTTATATAATAAAACAATTGTATACAAATTATTTTAAAAAATAAATTACAGTAATTATATAGAATATAAATTATAATTAATCAGTCAATAAATAAAGAATAACTAGAATCATTTATCTTATATTCTGTGCTCATTTTCCACATTTTCAACTGATGACTTACCCACAGGAAGTCCCTGTAGACATAGTAATAAAGCCAATCATGTACTACAACATTCCATGTGCGGTAATAGTTAGCAAATGAAGTGGAGTTCCACCAGTCCTAGAGAAAAAGCACATTATTCAATTAACAATTGTATAATGGCAACAATTTAGCATTAATCTTTTTTTTCAATAAAACAAATTTGGTCATGTGGAACATGAAAAATAACACTGCAGTATAAAGCCTAAAAGATCGAAGGGTCTATATTTGTAAAAATTAAATACAGGGCACATTTTGGTGCTGTCTGTTACCTTATAAAACATTCTGTCTCCAAACCGTAGCATTTCAGCAAATGCATTAAGCCAGCAATGCAGAAAGGCAAAAAATGCCAAGAAAAGCACCAGCACTCCTATGGATATAGGACAACGCCATTACACAAACTGCATTTATTTGTGCACTTTTTTTATTACATCTGTGTCTTCTTCAGTGTGTAGACTTCTTATCAGTATAAAGGTATCTAAAGATGTGCTAAATTAAAAAGTGGCTGTCCTGTCGACATTCTACCTGGCAGTATAGAGTTGAAGACACACAACACCATGGCCCTCAGGTCAAAGAGCTGCATACTGATACTGCGGAACTGAGGGATACACAGCCGCACAAATATGTAATATGCATAAAACAAACAGCCGAGCACCTGGAATGACACAGAAAAAAAAACATATTCAAGATCTCAACATAACATTTACCAAGTCTTGACATAAATGTTTATAAAAATCACAACTTAAACATGTACTCTTTTAAAGAGCCCACCTGCGAAAACTTTGTAGCCACATAACCCCACCGAATACATGGATTTCTACAAGGACAAAGTAACATAAGTGAAATCAAAACTGAATACATTTTTATTTATTACTTTTATACATGCTATTTCTATGAAAACAGATACCAATACACTGCTAAAACTTTTAGCTTAATATTAAATAAATAAATAAATAAATGTGTGTGTGTGTGTGTGTGTGAAACATTTAATTTTTATACATATAAGTATATTTTCTTACCGTGGATAATTGTCTCTGTATATCAGGGTGGGTGCAAAGAGAAAGTAAATGTACTGGGTGAATTGAGGTACAGCTAACGAATCTGAAAAAAAGAAAGACAAAATAAAATGTAAGTTTTTGTAATTTTACTTCTATGAAGTTACTAACATCTAAGTAAGGATCTTACTTGCTTTGTTTCGTTGTAAGGATCGCACTCTTGGCACATTTTCCCTGATGAAAGAGTGAGCCTTCATTATCAGGCGCACCTGTTTAAAACAGACAATAGCAACAACTAGATTGAGCAGTGAAAGTAAACACCTTCAAATATTATTAGACTTCTAACTAGTATCAAATTCAAATAAACACATTAAAGCAGAAAACAAAGCATCCAATAATCAACAGTGATATAACAAAATCCTGTTGCTATGGTTACTCAGTACCTGTTCTAGAATGAGTATGAAGCATGAAGCAGGGGGAAGGCCGTTCTTCAGCACCACATATGTGGGCAGGAAACCCAAACACAGTCCCTGGTACAGCAGCAAGAGAGAACCGGCCAGCGCTGTCCATAAGGCCCGATGGTTTGACGTGCGGTAAACACTAGCCCAGACACTGAGCAATACATACGGAACCACAAGCGTGGACAGGAACATACACATCCACGTGACAACCACTAGGGGGAACTGGCCAAACACGTACACCAACAGATCAAACTCAAGTACCAGTCTAGAGAGAGCAAGGAATAAAGATTTTTGCAGCTTACACAATTTAGTAAATCTCCTTTTATTGTCTTACTTTACTCCAAGTAACACTGAAGGTACATGATAAACTAATGAGAAAACACTTTTGAATCTTTTTGCATGCATTTTAGAGCAGGTTTTGATGAAGTCGTCTGAGACATTAATATTAATTAGCTTGTGCTGAAATTGCCAAATAATTTTCCTAGGCTATCCAGTAACATTACATAAGAAACTAAAATGTGTACCATCAAATTATTACTAAAAATTAAATACATAAAATCATTTTAAAATAGTTAAGAGCATATTACTTTCTCAATTCTCAATACATTATATTTCAGTCTGGTAAAATCACTGATTATAAAACGGATAGTTCCAGTCCTTGATTATGATTGGCTGAGCCACGTTCAAAGCTGTTGTAAATTACTCTACAAACATACACCTTTGTTTACGTTTGTCTGTTGCTTGGCAACCACTTTGTTGCAACCACAACTGATTCTGAGGAACTACATTGCTTGGTGGAAGAATACTGTTTTTATTAATATCATTACACTTTATTTGCTCTGTTTTATTTTGTGAAACCTTACTACGTATATGGAATAACCGTTTTATAAAAGCAATAAGCCCAGCGAAGCTGTGGTTTACAGTGAATTTATAACAGCTAAGGGGGTTTCCGCTTCGCGGCGTGCCTAACAACGCCGCTTAGCTGTTATAAATTCACTGTAAACCACGGCTTCTTGGGGCTTATTGCTTTATTTGTTAATTATTTTTGTTCACATAACATGTCATTTTATTTCATAACTTTATCCTTACACCAGCTAGAATACACTAACTGTAAACATGTTACATGTGTGAAGATGTTTTTAGTTTAGTTTTCTTGAGTGAGAATTAACATTTAAATAACATAAAGAGCTAAAACTATTCAAAATTCTAACACATATCAGAAATGTACTTTTAACACGAGCCAGAGGAAGTATGCATTGAATACATTGTGCATTGGCTTGCGAAGACAAAATATATCTTCTCATATTTTGGCAAAAACAAAACCATTATGCATTTATGAAACCACACTGTTGGCAAGGTCAGAACCTCAACATTTAAAACAAGGCTGCAGCTTAAAAAACTGAAGCAGAACAGATTCCAAAAGTGTTTATGAACAGTGAATGTTCTAACCTGCCCTCATCGATGAAATCCACGACAAGCGTGCTGAAGATGAAGAGGATGAGGAGGGCGATGAACATGTGATAGATGGTGCGAATGTGGTTCACCTCAAACAGATCACTGCAGAAAAATCATGTAATAAGCACTATTACTTTACAAATATTCATAAGCAGTACAACCATATGTTTCTCGTCTTCCTAATTAAACACTAAATTAACCAAATTTCATAAACTGTGCTACAACAAACAGGTTTATTAAAGTCAGCTAATCTGACCACAGACAGAAACAAATCTCAGATTTTACACATATCAGCAAGATCATCCATGACTTACTCTAACAGGGATCGACGGATCACGAACTGCTTGCTTTGGCTTTGGGAAGGTCGTGTATGCCTACGTGAGCAGAGAGGAAGATAAAACGGGTTAGACAACAGAATAAAAAAGGCTAAAAGAATGTGAGATAAAAGCACTATGCTGATAAGACTGGCACGCTAGTCATGTGATAAGATCAGACAATGAAAAAGAAATCACAAATGCAGATTTGAATGACAGTAAAAGAGAAGAGAGTGAAGTGTACTAGCCAGCTGTGGCACTCATTGCGATTCGATTTGTGCATGCTTTCAGTACCTGAGTTTGCTTTTCTCCTTATCTGAGAGAGGAAAGACTGTGCTCACATGGGACGAACCCAGACTGGCAGACTCCTCTATCAGACTGTCCATGAATTCATTGACTTGAGTGTCGAACTGCCTCATCAGGTCTGCCTTCAAATGCTGAAAACAAATAGCAAAACAGTAAAGACACAGAACAGCTAGTCTCTTCTAAGGAGGGTCTTACAAACAAGAACAGAAGGTTTGCAGAAGGTCTTATGAAGCGCTACACATCATATCCTCAAGATAAGAGTAATTCCGCCAGAGAATCAGGTCTCATGTGACAACTCAAGCTGTCATGGTCATGTCTTTTTGACTGCAGCTGCTCTTAATGGAGACAAATGAAGGTCTTGTATCTCAAAGAAACTTTTACGGATACTAAATTCGATCACAGACTGAACTGAGACTGAACTGATGACGCAATACATCGGAGGTCTGTAATTCGAATAAATTCTAAAGTTCAATCATTTGACAAAATGTCTTTTTAGGGAAGTCTTTAGAAGATATATGTGTTACAAAAAAGGACATTATATTTTCCCAAACCTCACCGCCCCTGGCTGACAACCACATCCTTCCCTATTCTGTCTGCATTTCCTGTAACCTTTACAAGCGCTTACATCAAGCAGCGTAAAACAATCTAAAGCATGAAACAATGTTTGACCCCTAAAAACAAAGTCAAAAAAGTCCAATTTAAAAAATACCTTTTAGTCTGAATCTATTAAAAAAATATTGTTTTAGTCTGAATCTATTAAATTATTCAGTAATAATTATACAATTCCAATGATGATTTGAATACACTTGAATACACCATAAATATTAAAATAATAAATATTTTGATATTTTAAATCTTACACACACGTTTTTTACAGTTCACATGATGATTTGAATACACTTGAATACACAATAAATATTAAATAATAAAATATTAAATATTTAGATATTTTAAATCTATTGTCATGTGGCCAGCAAATCATAAAAAAATAAATATTCTCACAAAGAATCTGTAGACACAATGTGTCAAGATCAGATGTTTTAAAAAAAAACATCTGATCTTGACACATGTTGCGAGGACACAGCTGTATGTGTTACTATGCGTGAAAGTTCCAAAACGGAAGCTGTAGAACTAATAGAACGTGATGACACAGCAGAACTCATCCACAATATCCACATTGACCGCCACAAATATCCACCGCCCCCTGCCATCAGCTCCCGCGTCTCACACACAGGAGCGCGACTTCAGAGCTAGATTTAGCAACTTTCAGACGCTTTTACCCATAGAATATATATATACTGACAAACCTAGCGACTTTTTTGGATAAACCTTAGCTATGATTCAGTTGGAAGATGTCGCCAGTGCTGCCCCGCGAGCGCGAGGTCCGACTCTCCCGGCGCAGTGTCGTCTCTCTCGGCGTCTGTTCTGTGCAGTGAGCGGCAGAGAAGCATCGCTTTCAGCTGGCCGTACCACAGCCGACTCGTCAATAAATGAGTACAAAACAGCGTTTCCTAGCACCTGTCGCTTACTGACTGTTTGGAATTATAAATATGAATATTTTTTTTGTGACTGAGACGCAGGCAGTGCGCTGCATGAGACAAAAAAGTAATATAGCCAGAACCAAAATGCACTCATGTGTATTCAAGGGGTATTACATTGCAAGATTACCTGTCATGTGCTGTAAGCAACACATTTAACTAACCCACTAACAGGTACTAAACATTTTTCATTGAGCAAAACCTGCTGCCTGCTAAAGAGCCTGATGAACAAGAACAAAGCAGAGCAAACATTCAGAGATGCTAAAGAAAACAAAAGCTCTGTCAGTTTTACACGGATCAAAATCACAAGAATAAGCATTGCATTTAAATCATTGAAAGGATTTAGTCAAGCCAAAGGTCACGCTTGAACGTTTAGGATCTGTTAATCTGTGACATAATATGTGATAATACAGATAATCTGTGATATTGATAATACTGATAATCTGTTACAATACAGTGATAACGAACAAGATTTGCACACATACGACATTTAACACTGTTGCATTCATTGTTTTGATATTTGATTTCCTTTAAAACAAGAAAAAAAGTACTAAGAGCCATCCTACCTCAGCTTTCTTCTTCAGCTGTAGTTTTGCGCTGATAATGTGCTCCACTTCCACTGTTCCTGAAATGAGACATCAGTACAGTTCTCTCATGAATGCTCACAACTACACACAGATGGAGCAGGTCATTCTGGACACGTATCCTGGTTACCATACCACTAATCTTTAACTAATCTAACATAATGCAAACAGAATACCTGCATCCGTTAGAGACAGATTAGTAACAGAAGAGACGGCGATTCATACAACCCTACTGTACATTAACATAAATAAGGACACTGACATCACAAAAATGCTCTAAAAAGCACTGAAAACTCATTTTATAATGATAAAATGCACTAAGATGCCATCAAAAAAAGTCACCACATGTATATAATCAAAAAAGCGAATTAATTTTTTCAGTAGACTGTAGTCCGCAGGTTTTAAAGGGGTCATATGATGTTGCTAAAAAGAACATTATTTGGTGTATTTGGTGCAGCGGCCGGCGGGATTGAGAACGGCGCGGCCGGCGGGCTTGCGGCAACCACTATCCGGCGATCCACAGCGCGAAGTTAATGTATTTCCTCAGCGACCAGCACGGATCAGCTCTAGGCATGACGAAGCGGATATCGTCCTCTTTTGGAAGACCAAACAAAGTAGTTTCGCTTTCACAACGAAACACACAGCGTCTCGACATGGCAGCAGCAACAATACTACTATTCAGCAACTACTATACTATTCAGTATAAATACAAATATTTCATCGCTATATTATTGAAGACTAAAAAAGAGTCACTTTCATTTAGGAAAGAGAGAGTTTACGTTAGGAAAGATGGATACATATGTCAAAGCCAATGAATGGACTAGACTTACGACAAAAGTTTCAAAATGCAGTTAAAGTTTTAAAATGCAGTAAAAAGAAAGACAGCGCCGCAACAGCTGAAGTCTGTCTACACTGGACGCGACAAAGCGACCGTTGAAAATCATTTGAAATTTGTGTCAGTATGTCATAAATAGAACGCAGCAGCAGTTTACTGTCGGGAATTTGCCGCATCCAGTGTAGACAGCATAGGTTCTATTGTATTTTGTCGCGTCGTGCCGCTCGCGTCCGGTGTAGACACGGTGTAAATGTAGAACTTGATGACTTTTGACAAAAAGCACTACATTATATTCCACTGAAAACCCTAAAATTATTTCACGAGTTCGCACTAACATATAATATGATTGAGCAATTAGTAGCATATTTGGCGTGCTGTCCAGAGGGAGGGCTCCAAGCTCGGGATAGAGCCCGAACCCAGAGAACCCCCCCCCATCCATCCCAAAAATGGGATGAAATTAGATTAAGAGTGAGGTGTTGGGGTGGAGGCGGTGTTAAGGTGCAAGCTCCACCTGGGCCAGACTGATTGATTATCTGATCGTGCTCCTCCCGAACCTTGTTAACCTTGTTAAGGCCAGACTGATTGATTATCTGATCGTGCTCCTCCCGAACCTTGTTAATGAAACATCGTATAAGATATTTAATTTCAAAAACACACACTAACTCAAATGCGACACTGTGAAGCATTAACCTGAATCTATCTGACAGTGAGGTTGCACAATAAAACACTACTCTAGAAATTTCAGTGTCATCATGTCAGAGTTAATGGGGTTAATGGGATCATTGATAACCGTACTGGGCAGGACAATGGCAATTTCTCAATCAGGTCACACTGCAAATACTGCAAATCTCTGTTCATCCCAGAATTAACCTTAATGGTTTCACTAATGTAACATGAATGTGTCATGGCCATTGTTTCCTCATTCTTCTTTAATGCATATATGATTACACAGCTCAATTAAGACCTCAATACAAGCAAGGTTATTATTGCAAATTAAAAACCTTTTACTTTAAGGAAAATTAACATTTAGTTTATAATATACCTATTTTCTACCACATAAAGATCAATTATATTATTTTCCCACTGAAAACTCCTAAACAGACTGGGCAAAGAGAAAAAAAAATCTCTTGTTGAGCCTGCAAATGAATAATATCAAAGGTATGTACTCTTTTATATGACAGAGCCATACAAATGATAGGTTGTACAAGCAACGTAAATAGTAAGGACACTAAGTGAAACATGTTGCAACTGATTCCAGTGGGTCAGAGTTGAATGACCTACATTAGAACTAACAAAAGAAAAACTCTCTTCATTAGAATCTTAAAGTGACTGTTTTGCATCTGCCTAATTTGAATGCTCTGCACTTGGAGGATCAGGGCTTTTTTTGTTTAGTGATTCAGTCTCACCATTACTGGGGCAGGACACCTCTCCTGTGCCATCCTGGTCTGATGAAGGAACCACCTTATGAGACCCCCTGCGACTGCGTGGGGCGCCAGCACCCTCATTCACCATCCTGCTGCTGAAAACCCAACACCAAGAACAAACGTGATCCTTCTTCAACAGGTAAATAATTTCATTCATCACCATTTAAATTACAGAATTCTAAGAATGCTATATTATCTTGATTGCATCAATTAGATCATTTTAAACTTACTAGTAAGATTTTAATTGAATTTTAAAAGTAGTCATTCTGGCCAGTCATTGAATATGACAAAGAAAAAAAATTCTGTAATTAGCGAGAAGATTTTTATTAGTTAGTAACTAAGAAATAAGCAAGATTATCTGAGATTATCTATCCTTGTGAAACTGTAACTGGTATCAGAATAACTTGCATACAGTACTAGTCAGAATAAGTGAGCAGTTGAAATCTGAACCACAGATTCCATAAAAATCAATAAACAAAAATGTTCAAAGGAATACCCTACTTGTCACTATTAGGATAGTTACTAGTAGCAAAGGGAAAAGTACTGTAAGTGATAAACTTAACGAATACTAGTCAATATTTAATTACTTTTTGGAAATAAGTATTAGTATGAGAGCAGTGGCTACAGAGGAACAGCGCCCCCACCAGATCCCAGACCATGAGCACATCTCCCTCCAGAGGGCACTGTTCATTCAGGTATTTGCCCATGCTTAGTTAAATGCTGCCCTCTGAAGTTATGAAAAAGATCTCTTAAAGGGCTCATCAGATGAAAATCTTAACTTTTTCTGTGTTTAAGTGCTATAATTGTGTGTCTGGTGCATCTACCAACTCAGAAAACATGAAAGAACCCAGTAAGTTTGGTTTTGTAAGCCTTTCTCTGCAAGCATGTGAGAAAATGAGCCGATCAGATTTCTCTCCCCCTCTGACGTAGGAAGGGGTTCTTATTATAATATTACCGCCCATTAATCTGCACGTTTCCACCCACGGCACTTAGCCGCCATTGTTGTTTTCACAAGCGACAGCGGTGTACATGTTCTGATGCAAAAGTCCGCAGAAAACATGCTAAATGTTCTGTTGTTGGCTGCACAGATGAACACAAATAATTATTTCACGAGTTCGCACTAACATATAATATGATTGAGCAATTAGTAGCATATTTGGCGTGCTGTCCAGAGGGAGGGCTCCAAGCTCGGGATAGAGTCCGAACCCAGAGAACTCCCCCCATCCCCCATCCATCCCAAGAATGGGATGAAATTAGATTAAGAGTGAGGTGTTGGGGTGGAGGCGGGATGTTGGAAAACTGTCGTGGAACAGAGGTAAGTTGGCTGTATATATATGTATTGTGCTTGTTAAGGTGATTAGCTGACGAGCTCCACCTGGGCCAGACACTCACACTAACTCAAATGCGACACTGTGAAGCATTAACCTGAATCTATCTGACAGTGAGGTTGCACAATAAAACACTACTCTAGAAATTTCAGTGTCATCATGTCAGAGTTAATGGGAATGTCTGCATCATTGATAACCGTACTGGGCAGGACATGGCAATTTCTCAATCAGGTCACACTGCAAATCACATGGCAGTCTGTTCATCCCAGAATTAACCTTAATGGTTTCACTAATGTAACATGAATGTGTCATGGCCATTGTTTCCTCATTCTTCTTTAATGCATATATGATTACACAGCTCAATTAAGACCTCAATACAAGCAAGGTTATTATTGCAAATTAAAAACCTTTTACTTTAAGGAAAATTAACATTTAGTTTATAATATACCTATTTTCTACCACATAAAGATCAATTATATTATTTTCCCACTGAAAACTCCTAAACAGACTGGGCAAAGAGAAAAAAAAATCTCTTGTTGAGCCTGCAAATGAATAATATCAAAGGTATGTACTCTTTTATATGACAGAGCCATACAAATGATAGGTTGTACAAGCAACGTAAATAGTAAGGACACTAAGTGAAACATGTTGCAACTGATTCCAGTGGGTCAGAGTTGAATGACCTACATTAGAACTAACAAAAGAAAAACTCTCTTCATTAGAATCTTAAAGTGACTGTTTTGCATCTGCCTAATTTGAATGCTCTGCACTTGGAGGATCAGGGCTTTTTTTGTTTAGTGATTCAGTCTCACCATTACTGGGGCAGGACACCTCTCCTGTGCCATCCTGGTCTGATGAAGGAACCACCTTATGAGACCCCCTGCGACTGCGTGGGGCGCCAGCACCCTCATTCACCATCCTGCTGCTGAAAACCCAACACCAAGAACAAACGTGATCCTTCTTCAACAGGTAAATAATTTCATTCATCACCATTTAAATTACAGAATTCTAAGAATGCTATATTATCTTGATTGCATCAATTAGATCATTTTAAACTTACTAGTAAGATTTTAATTGAATTTTAAAAGTAGTCATTCTGGCCAGTCATTGAATATGACAAAGAAAAAAAATTCTGTAATTAGCGAGAAGATTTTTATTAGTTAGTAACTAAGAAATAAACAAGATTATCTGAGATTATCTATCCTTGTGAAACTGTAACTGGTATCAGAATAACTTGCATACAGTACTAGTCAGAATAAGTGAGCAGTTGAAATCTGAACCACAGATTCCATAAAAATCAATAAACAAAAATGTTCAAAGGAATACCCTACTTGTCACTATTAGGATAGTTACTAGTAGCAAAGGGAAAAGTACTGTAAGTGATAAACTTAACGAATACTAGTCAATATTTAATTACTTTTTGGAAATAAGTATTAGTATACTACTAAGATAAAAAAAAAAGACCCTAGTTAGTTAATAGAATAAACGTTAAAATGGCTTACCACACAAATGCAAATACATTACACTAAATTAGCTAACTGAGTTGATGCTGGGCTGTCATTTTTGAGGGGGTTCAACTATTCGTCTGTATTTAGAACTAGCTTAAAACGACACTAAATATACGCACGAAACTCAATACGCTTATTGTACACAAACGATATTCATTTACCAGAAAATGTTTTCGACAAAATAGTGTCTGTTTTACAGGCTCCGTTTAAGAAAGACCAAAAAACAACGTTTAGATCACTTACTTGTGCTTCTTCCTCAATACACACGTGTGCAATAATCAATTCAGCTTTCTGAAGACAAACTCTGTGAATGTTGACGCTGGCTACGCCGTATGATTGAACGAGATCAGCAGCATCAATCACACCTCATTGCATCAGGCCTGTTGAAATCAACTGAAACAACAGGCGCTCGTTCTCTACCGGGGGCGGAGTCTGCTTTGAAACGACATCTGATTGGACGAGCGGCTAAATGTACAGTAACAGTATCAATACCTTACAGCGTTGCCTGGTTTATGTAATGACTGGTTATCTCTCTCTTCTCAAAGATGTAATGTGTGGAATAAATATATGAATCTCAAAACCCTTCAAGAATATATGCCCAGGTCATATTTCACCCCAAATACAAATGTGTCAAATGATGTGGTTATAGTTCTGACTAGTTTTAATTATGTGTCTTATGTTAAATGATAAAATATTGTAAGTTACCTTTGTGAACACTACATATATGATACGGAAGTAAAGTGAGGATGTATAACTGTAAAAGGGCAAAGTACATTGTACTAACAGCTTATGGAGAATGAAGACATTATATGGTTAGATCCTGATCTAGTCACTACTGCTCATTGATGCCCCAAGTTATTTATTAAACACATTCAAATTCACTAATGTATGTGAAATGATGCCTAGTTTTAAATGCAGTAAAAAAAATTTTTTTTTTAAATAATAAAAAAAAGCAATTATTTATCCAGGGTTGTTTATTGCATCATTTAGGAAGATGGCAAAAATACAGAGAATTTCATGACATTTCTCATGAAGAAACAGAACATTTCTGCAATATATAAAGTACAAATGCCCTATAGGGTTTTATTTTTTTTATATCAGTTAATAAAAAAAGGCACCGTGTAAAGGTTTAATATATGAACTTTTCCTCCATAAATTCTTACAACCTTACATAAATAAATCATTACGAACACTCACAACCCACTGACACACAACAAGTCTAAATAAATGTACATGCTCTCATACACACACAGTTTTTGCACCACTTTCAGTGTACCAGAAATCTGAATAATATAAACCCGGAGAACAAATTCACTAATCATAAATCTACCTTACATTATTATACAATATTCAAAAGTCTAATTGTAGCATATGTCCTGGGAACAATGCACTCCTCCCAGGTGCTCTGTGAATGGAATCTACTTTTGGAAAGATGCTATAAAAAAGCACAAATGTCCAAGGACGATGCTCGGATCTCCTTCCCAGGTTTCTCCTCCACCCTGCAAAAGAACATCTCTTATGGGAAGGAGTTGTAGGTCTCCTCCGTGGAGCTCCGAATTCCCAAGAACCCTCACCTGTGCTGTTACCTGCAAAGATAAGGCAGGGAAAATACCCGGTGACCTCCTGTTATGGAATAGTTTTACTTTAGTTATAGGGTTTGGATGTGCCTTTTTTTGTAAACTTCTCATTTAGAAAAGCTGTTGTCACGTGTCCTACACTAATTACAGATTGCTTCTAACCTCACAACCATGTTGTGATATGAGAACATGGGATGGATGGATTTCTTCATTGGAGTCTCCCCATAAGCGTAACACTCTCTTAGTGGTATCCTGGTGTTTAGCAGTGGGGCTGTGTTTTTCAAAACATGTCAGGGTGATGCTTTGTGTGGCAGAGGTACTGTGTAACCATCAGTGTTGGGGAGTAACTAGTTACATGTAACGGAATTACGTAATTTAATTACAAAATAAAAGTAATTGTAATCAGTTACAGTTACTAAGATAAAATATGTAATTAAATTACAGTTACTTATGAAAATGTTAAGGATTACAAAGGGGGTTACATCTGCATTTTAAGTAGGGTAACTTGTAATCTGTAACCTATTACATTTCCAAAGTAACCTTCCCAACACTGGTAACCATAGGAATCGCAGTTGGACAACATCGAGATCTCTGTACTCAAACTGTGGAGAGCAATAATCAGATACCTGCTATTCTTAATAAAAATGATATTCACAGCACTGTTTCCATAGAAACAAAAAACCCACCATGTTAGTAAATGAACAAGAAATTACATCAGCTTATGAAATTCAGCAAGATCAGTCATTTACCTTGAAGCCTCTGTGAAGCTCGCTAAACCACTTTTTAGATCTGTCCGCTGATGGCCACATCCCTGAAATCTGACAAAATCACCGCAAATATAAACACAAATATAGTGTTATATTCAATATAACAGTATATCTACACAAAACAACTATAAATGTTATTCTGTGTGACATGCTGGCACATTTCATAAAAATAAAAGCTTCCATGGTTCCATTAAGAACCTTAAACGTACAAGGAAGCTTTCCATTCCACAGAAGATTCTTTATATTTTAAAAAAGGCTTCTTTAGATAATTAAATTGTTCTTCACACTAAAGAAAAAAATGGTTATTTTAAGAACTGTTTACTGAAAGGTTCTTTGGGAAACCAAAAATGGTTCTTATGTGGCATCACTTTGAAAATCCCTTTTTGAAGTGTAATAATAATAATGGGCAATAAATATCTTCCAGTTTTTAAATCCCACTTTTGTCCATCTCAGAGTAAAGAAAAACATCAGTTTATATGTCTTAGAATCACCAAAGGAGAGTGACTGTGAAAATCCACAGGAGACACACAAGTTAGACCACCAGCAGTAAAATTACAGAACACATGGAGAGCATCAAATGGACATCCGTGGTTTGGATCAACTTAGTAGTGCCCTATAAACAGAACAATAGTAAATTAAATGTCCACTCTATGATTTCATTTTTTAAAAACAAGAGCCATATTTTTGGGTCTGATGTCTGCTCACCATCTCTGAGGTGAGGCTGGATGAGACGGAGTTCTCTGCAGGTGGTTGCTGGGTTGTCTTTGGTGCCTTGCAAGTGGCTATTTTCCTCAATCTCTTCTTCAGGGTCATCAAATCGAGACTTTCTGGATAATGACCTTGCTTTCTGAAAAGAATGTGCAAAGACAATTGATCAATATATTAAAACCTTCATCTTAGGTCTTGCTGCTACCCAACCCCACATTTCCCTCTATATTTGACATATCTCAACAAACCAAGGTTGACTGCTTGAGTTTGTACCAACATTTTGTGATCCTCTTCTTGGAGCATGAAGTTGAGCATGATGCCCTGGTATCTGTTGGGGCGGGAATACCTGGTTTTCCCTTGTGAGATGGTGAGAGTGAGCCAGAATATAAGATTAAGACACAATCTCTTAAAAAGGAATAAAATAAGTATGACATTAAAGTTAAAGTGTGAAATTAAAGTCACAGGCAGGAAAACTATTCCACAAGTCCTCTCTGACCTTTCATACCTTTCTGTCCTGATATTCCCTGAACTCCTTTCATACCCTGTTGATATAAACAATACTTAAGAAAGCACATTTAACTCCATTAAGCTTAATATACTTGAGGTCAAATCATATTTCAAATCCCATATTTTCAATGTTTCAGTGTCACCCTACTGAACATTGCCATTTAAATACTGCATGCCGGGGCACTGCAGGTCAGTTTGACTCTAATAAGATCTGTATCTATACTGTACCTACCTGGTTCAGGTACAGGGCAAAGATAAGCAGAGCTATATAAAATTACAACCACACCTGCAATTTCAGTACACACCTTCCTTCCAGTTGGACCCTGTAGAGCAAAACAAGAAACTGTGTCATCTATGCCATTGTTCTAAAGCAGATAAAGCTGGTCAATGAGTTTACAAAGAGACATACAGGTAAACCAGGGAATATTTTGCCACCAGGAGGCCCACGAGCACCAGCTTCACCCTGCAACAACAAATAACATATGAATAAAGAATCAAAAGTTCACAGTAAATAGGTCCCCAAATTACAGCAGGCAGTTATTTACCTGCATGCCTTGCGGTCCAGGCCGTCCCTTGAACCCTGGAGCACCTTGCTTTCCCTGCAAGATGAAATAAAACATTCCTAACTACTGAAAAAAAAGCAACTGGTTGTTTTTTTGATGTGCTTTCTATGTTTCATTTGAACTTACCTTTTCTCCTGGTGGTCCGCTGGGCCCTTGCAATCCTCTAATACCAACATGGCCCTGTAAATCACATTAATGAGCAATGAGCAAGGCCTTGAAGTGACCAATATGATCAAAACTTTGCTGAAAAACCAGCTGTACACAATCTACTACGTGCTTTCTGTCATCTGATTGACAGTTCATACTTTTAGTATAATTCCAATTAGCCTACATCTAACTTTTTGGCCACCGAAATATCAGCTACTGCAACAAATTGCATATTTTTGCTTAGTTTGGGCCTCTGAATAAAACTGGGGTGATTTTTCTTACTATTATTTCATATGTTAGAAGCTAAAACAATTGTCTATAGTCAATGGATACAGTGATACCTTTGGTCCCTTTAGTCCAACATCTCCCTTTTCACCTTGAAGACCCAGAATCCCCTAAGTTTTAACAAAAAAAAAATAACTTTATAAAATTAAAATCCTTATGGATTGTAGAAGGCAAAACAATGACTTTGATTTGATTACCTTTGGTCCTATCAGCCCAGTGGGTCCTGGTTTCCCTTTGGGTCCTACAGCGCCCTGTGATGAAAAGGCTGGTAAATTGACTCTAGTAGGAACCATTTATTTAAGAGACAGAGAGGAAATTACCTTTGGTCCAGGTAGTCCTTGACTCCCTTGCAAACTCGGTGTTCCTGGGGCACCGTTTGAATTTGTTTTTGAAACCATGCCACAAGTCATGACCATAATATAAAACCAACATGCTTTATAATAAATTATTCAAATAGTCTGTATAAAACAAACTTACTTACAGCACTACCTGGAGGACCTGGTTTCCCCGGAGGTCCTCGGAAACCAATGTCACCCTGCAAGTTATACAGTAAGGTAGTAAATGCTCATGTTCATGCTAAATCTGCCATATTTACCATAAAGCAATTAGGGCCCAGATCACCCTAGTAACTACATAGCAAATATTCAGAACACCCTAACAACTGCATAATAACAACCCACAACACCCTAGCTGTAACATGGCTGTTTCAGAATGAGGGAAAGCAGGACCCAGATGCAAACATAAACATAAATCCAGGCAAGAGCAATCCAAACGTGGGCAAGGAAAACAGAACTGACAACAAACACACGATTCATCCATGTAGAACAACACCAGACAATGAACAGAGAAAACACAGGGGTATAAATAAACAAGGGGTAACAAGCTTAACAAGATAACAAGACACACCTGGGGGAACTAATCAAGGAGGAACCAACAAACAACCAAACTACAAACTGACTACAAAACACACAGGAAACAGGAAATGACATAAAAGTCCAAACAACACAGGCAACATGTAAGACTAGCATTGAGTTTGCATTGGTAAGCACTACTATAAAATGTAAATAAAAGGAAGCTACTCACTGGGTCGCCTTCAGTGCCTATAACTCACAGCAATTTATCTGTACCACTACGTCCCTTAAATAGAGTTAGTGTAAAAGTCAATCATGTTTGGCACAATCATAAAATAGTCAGAAGGTTTAGACATTTGTATTTGGGATACTTGCTGGCTTTCCAGGTAGACCAGGATTACCATGTTTCCATTTTGGTCCTTGAGGTCCCTAGACAATAATACATCATATGCATGACATTTTTATTTGTTTGTGTAGGCGAAATATGAAATAATACCAATAAAGTTGCAGATTATCAAGACAATAAAAGCCAAAAAAAATGCATGAACCCACTGGCTTTCCTGCAACACCTTTACTTTCTCTCCTTCTAGGAGAACCGCTCATCCTCTGTGTGAAAGAATCACAAAAACAACTGGTGAAGACATTAAATGACCAGATTAAATGAGACGTCTATAAAATACTGAGCCACTGACTTTTGGCCCTGGTTGACCCTTGACTCCTTTTTCCCCTGAAGGCCCTGAAGATCCTGGTTTTCCCTTTAGACCCACAGCTCCTGGCTGCCCCATTGGCCCCTAGACAGGAGCGTAGATCATTTAGATATGTTAACACTGTCCATTTGAGCATAATGTATGCCAGTGTGAAATGCCTTTGTCCTTTTTTTAATAGCAAATGCTTCATATTTTGTTCTTTAGATTGGAAACAAATCTGGTTGTAAAGTGTTATCTCACCATTCTGCCTCTTGTTCCAGGCTCTCCTTTCTTCCCACTTGGGCCTGAAACACCCTGTAAACAACATGCAAAATTCAACAAATTCAGGTCAGTAAGACCAGACAACATTTTCTAAATAATGCATACATACCATTGATCCAATCTTCCCAGGGCTGCCTGGATTCCCTTTAACTCCAGGTTCTCCCTGCAGGGGACAAAAACAACAGATGCACTTACTCATACGATGGTGTAACAGAGCATACCAGACATCAGTAAAAAAAAATAAAAAAAATAAAAACATACTTTTGGTCCAAGTTTTCCACTTTGTCCAACAAATCCTTTTTTTCCTGGCAAACCCTAAATTTGAATGGAATAAATTAATGTCAAATGTATATCCAAAAATACACAATAAATCAAACCTAACTTACCGGTAACCCAATAGCACCATTTGGACCTGGCGGCCCATTTGTTCCTGCCTCGCCCTATGATACCCATAGAACATTGAAATAAACAAAATAAATATATTTCTTCATAGGCTTCATTAGCTGTAAAAGAGGAAGTGGTACCCACAACAAGTCCACGTAGACCTTTGTCGCCTTTTTCACCAGATTTTCCCATGTTCCTTCCAGGACCATACTTTCCTACCAACCCAGAGTAACCTCTCATACCTGTCTGACCCCGAGTAAAAACAAAAAAACACACAGAAAACATGTCAACAATAAGAATATTTCAATGCATTTGACTATTTCACTCAAACACCTGTGCAAACTTCATCAAAAAACTCACTTTTTCACCAGGGATCCAGGATCTCCCTTCTGCCCTGGAGCACCACTCAACCCCTGACAAAAAACAAACACACAACATCTTTTTGTTAATAATTTATGGTATTTTGTACCTAAGAAATAATCAAAAATCAGATCAGTATTCTCACTTCTCGTCCTTTTTGTCCTTTGACTCCAGGTGGTCCTCGATTTCCACTCTCTCCTTGGATTCCCTTTGGGCCACGATCACTAAAAGATCCTTCATTACCCTTCTCACCCTACAACCGACAGTTCTGTCCTGTGTATCATTTACATAAAACACCATAACACAACGTACATGTATGAAATGGAGATGGCAAACATACAGCATCAGAGGATTTGTACTCACAGACAATCCTTTGCTTCCTGCTGGTCCGACTGGTCCAGTTTCACCCACTGAGCCCTAAAAAAACGGTTATCCATTTCATTTAATACAATTTCTCTACCGCTAAAAATCTGAAGTCAGTAGGCTTTTTAAAAATGTTTTTGAAAGAAGCCTCTTATGCTCACCAAGGCTGCATTTTTTTGCTCAAATATACAGTAAAAACTGTAATATTGTGAAATATTATTACAACTAAAAATAACTGTTTTCTATTTTAACTAGTGCTGTCAAACGATTAATTGCGATTAATCGCATCCAAAAGAAAAGTTTGACAGCACTTTTTTGGCCCAGTCAAAAGTCTTCACGCAGCATTTTGAACAGCTTGCAATCGTGACACTGAAGATTGAGGAAGACCAGAATAAAGAGAGTTACAATAATCCAATCGAGATGTAACAAGTGCATGAATCACAACTTCACAATGATATGAAATACTGTATTTTTTTAAAATCTGGGCCAAGGGAAGCATATAAAGGGAAAACAGTAAAGGTCCCAAAATGGATCCCTGGGGCACTCCACACAAGACAGGTGCAGCGGATGAGAAAAAAATTCCTAAATTTACAGAAAAAGTCCTGTTCTCGAGATACAAGGCAAACCACTTAAATGCAGTGCCTCGAATACCTACCACACATTCAAGTCGATCAAGAAGAATGCTATGGTCAATGGTGTCAAATGCAGCGCTCAGGTCCAACAATGCCAACACAACACATGCACCTGAATCCAGAGAAAGCAGCATGTCCTTTGTAACTCTCAACAGAGCTGACTCAGTACTGTGTAATGATCTAAAACCAGATTGAAACTTATCTAAAACACTAAAAGAATCCAAAAAAGACTGAAGTTGTAAAAACACTACTTTCTCCAAAAGCTTGCTGATAAAGGGCAACTTAGAAATTGGCCGATAGTTACAGAACATTGCTGGGTCAAGCTGAGGTTTTTTCAGCAGAGGTTTCACAACTGCATGTTTAAAACTGGCTGGAACAACACCTTTGGCTAAAGAGCTGTTCACTATAGCTGTTACAATAGGACTAATAGTCGGAAAAACATCCTTAAAAAGACGTGCAGGAATAATATCTAACTTAGAACCAGAACACTTCATAGTAGAGACAATATCATCTAGCTGATGTGATAAAACAGGTTGAAAGGAAGACAAACAACTTGTGGTACAAGGCAACTGCAAATGAAGTGATTCAGAAGGAGCAATGGAGGATCTGATAGCATCAATGTTTTGAGTAAAATAAGTTTAAAAAATCCTCATAAAGCGCCGAGGAGGCCTCAGATAATAGATTCATAGTTGGGTTTAAAAGAGAATCAATCATATCAAACAATGCTTTTGGTCTATTCACATTATCAGCAATTAACTGAGAGAAATAACTAGATTTTGCATGTTTTACTGCTATTTGATAATTAGAGAGACTTAACTTTAAGATATCAAAGGAAACATGTAGCTTATCTTTTTTCCACTTTCGCTCTGCTTTCCGACACTCTTGTCTAAGAGTGCGGGTGGTTTCATTTAACCATGGCTGGCCAACACCCTTTACCCTTTTATGCTTAAGCGGAGCAACAGTGTCCAAAGATGTAGAACAAGCTTTATAAAATCCTTCAATCAAACTTTCAGTATCAGTTTCGTTAAGATCTAAAACCAGATTGAAACTTATCTAAAACACTAAAAGAATCCAAAAAAGACTGAAGTTGTAAAAACACTACTTTCTCCAAAAGCTTGCTGATAAAGGGCAACTTAGAAATTGGCCGATAGTTACAAAACATTGCTGGGTCAAGCTGAGGTTTTTTCAGCAGAGGTTTCACAACTGCATGTTTAAAACTGGCTGGAACAACACCTTTGGCTAAAGAGCTGTTCACTATAGCTGTTACAATAGGACTAATAGTCGGAAAAACATCCTTAAAAAGACGTGCAGGAATAATATCTAACTTAAAACCAGAACACTTCATAGTAGAGACAATAACATCTAGCTGATGTCATAAAACAGGTTAAAAGGACAACAAACAACTTGTGGTACAAGGCAATTGCAAATGAAGCGATTCAGAAGGAGCAATGGAGGATCTGATAGCATCAATTATATATGTAAAATAGTTTAAAAAATCCTCACAAAGCTCCGAGGAGGCCTCAGATAATAGATTCATAGTTGGGTTTAAAAGAGAATCAATCATATCAAACAATGCTTTTGGTCTATTCACATTATCAGCAATTAACTGAGAGAAATAACTAGATTTTGCATGTTTTACTGAACATATTTGAAATGTCATTTATTCCTTTGATGACAAAGCTGAATTTTCAGCAGCCATTGCTCCAGACTTCAGTGTCACACGATCCTTCAGAAATCATTCTAATATGCTGATCTGGTGCTCAAGAAATGTTTCTTAATATTAACAATGTTGAAAACAGTTGTTACGTTTAATAATTTAGTGGAACCCATGATGGAAACATTTTTTATTATTAATAGAAAGTAAAAAAAAAAAACTTTTGATCAATTTAGTGCAGCTGAATAAAAGAAAAACGTATTGACCCAAACTTTTAAAAGGTAGTGTAAATGTGGATGGTTCTCAAATCAACTATTTAGGACATTCAAAGCAAATATCTTTGCATTATATGTATTAATATTAATAAAAGCAGAATTTCATATTGATAACAAAATCAAGATTTATAAGCAATCTACCTCCTCACCATCAATACCGGCAACTCCCTTCAGTCCACTGGTTCCTCTCAGTCCCTTTGTCCAATACATTTATAAACAAAAGGTCTCATACAAGGCCACAGTGAAAGAACTAATACATTTTACAAAATTACAATGAAGATAAAACTTAAAAAAAAAAAACAGCCCACCTTATCACCTTTATCTCCTGGAGGTTCGAGGGGTCCAGGTGGTCCATCTTTACCCTGAAAGACAGAGAATACAATATGGGATTAGAGCTGAAACCTTCCCTCAGTCCTCACAACAATAAACCAAATAAACCAAAAACATACTGGGTACCCGGCCACTCCATGTGGCCCCGGCGGCCCTCTGGGCCCTTGATTTCCTACCGGCCCCTGCAGACCTGTCTCACCCCACTGGCCTATGTTTCCTTGTGGGCCCTTTAGAAGATTACATTTACAAATGTTTAATCATTACTAACTGGATAAACACTTAGTAATATCCCTGCTATTGCATCATGACAAAAAGATTGCAAATGTATGTTAAATGTATGCTTTACAGCAGGTCCTCTGTAGCCCTTCTCTCCTGGTAGGCCTCGAGGACCCTAGACAGAGAAATCGATAGATTGAAAGAGTTTTTGAACCTACAGTTTAATGTTAATGAATGAGGAAAAAATGTAAATATATACAACCTATAAGGCACTTACTGGCTGACCAGGTTTTCCTTTGGGCCCCTCAGGACCACTTTTCCCCTAATATCAATTGAAAAGATTGTAAAATCCATTTGGATATAAATTATAAGAAGAGAACAGACAGTAGAACATATGGCTTGTGAATTAAAGGAAAGGAGGTTTGATTTGAATGCAAAAATGAAAGGAAACTTTTGCTTCTGCTGCTGATTACTGTTAAACGTAGCTAATAATGTTTTCAGCTTTTTATTGCATTACATTTTGTCATTATATGGTGTGTCACATGACGTGACTGGTACATTTTACAAAACCACTAACCTTCT